ACCAGGAACTCGAGCAGGAGCTCCGGCACATGAAGCGTTATAAAGCCCCGGCCCTGATGGTCTTCCTCCAGCTCTATTTAAAGATGGTGGCGCATCGCTGGTTCGAGAACTCACCGCTTTGTTCTCGAAAATTTGGTCGAAAGAGAAAGTTCCATCATCTTGGGGTGAATCGATAGTCGTCCCCATCTTCAAAAAGGGCCTGCGCACAATCTGCTCCAACTACAGAGGCATAAGCTTAGTCCCCGTCGTTTGCAAGCTGCTGGTGTCCATCATACTTCGCAGGCTATCCCCAACGCGCGAATCGTTGCAACGAGAAGAACAAGCTGGGTTTCGCCCTGGTCGCGGCTGCATCAATCAAATCTTCACACTCCGCCAGATCCACGAGCTCCGCCATGTGTATCAAAGGCCAACGATTGCTGTGTTCCTGAATATCCGTGCAGCCTTCGATTCTATCAATCGTACGGTAGTGTGGCACTGCCTACCGAGGAATGGTGTCCCCGAGAAGTTCGTCTCCATACAGCGCTCTCTCTATAGTCTGACCTCGGGCAGGGTTAACGCTTATGACAAGCTTTCGTCGACCTTTGTGGTCTCCAATAGAGTTCGACAAGGATGCCCTATCTCTCCGTTCCTATTCAACTTTGCCATTAAGGATGTACTGAAAAACGATCTGGGCGATTCGCTGAACACTGGCTTTGAGCTCCTCCCAGTCGAGTTGTTGATTTGGATTATGCTGATGATATGGTCTTGCTGGGTGACCATCCACACATCCTCCAACTTCCAGTAAATAGCTTGGCGATTGAGGCATCAAAGTACGATATGTACTTTTCGCTATCCAAATGCAAGGCTCTCTTCCAAGACTGGCAGGTGCCTCTGCCTGCACTCACTCTTGGTGGTGAGACACTAGAGCTAGTGCAGAGCTTTGTCTACTTGGGAAGTTGCACCACTGCTGCGAGAGTGTTAGGGAAGAGATTCGACGCGCATCTCGAGAGCACGCCTCGATTTTTCTAGGCTGAGGCACTTGTGGCTTCGCCACGACATTCGTCTCTCCATCAAACGACGGGTCTATTGTGCAACTGTTCGTGCTGTACTGTTGTACGGATGCGAGACCTGGCCCATTCGTAAAGATGACTTGCGCAGTCTATCCGCCTTCGAGTACCGCTGTCTGCGGTCCATTGCCCGTGTGTGGTGGCAGCACCACGTAAGCAATGTGGAAGTTAGCCACTCGCTCGAGGAGCTCGTCTCACTGCGTCAACTGCGATGGTTGGGACACGAATTGCGCATGCCTGTCCAGCGTTACCCCCGTCGTGCGTTGTTTGCGGTTGCTGGACAGGGCTGGAAGAGACGGTCTGGTGGACAGCCTACAACATGGAGAAGCCGCATGAAAAAGCTGACGAAACAGTTGGCCTCGGCCGGTTGTTGTCGACTACCTGGTTGCAGTCCGAGAGATACGGATACTTGCTGGTTGAAGACCTTGGAAGCCATGGCTCAAGATCGACGTCAATGGCGGGCGTGTGTTGCGGTGTCCCTTCCTTCGCCCCCAAAAAAGACAAACTGGAAAATTTTCACTGTGAGTGGTTAACTGGACAAAAAAGCTTCTTGTTGTCGTTCTTTTCTTATTATTCATACTATTTGCCTATTCAGCCATGATTCCGATGGCACAATATGTGTTCCGGAGATTTCGTATATGTTGATATATATATATATATATATATATATATATATATATATATATATATATATATATATATATATATATATATATATATATATATATGATGTCTTCACAATGTGAACGTATTGCTCATCTCTCCCAAGATCCCACCGAACGCTCAGCGAGCACGGAACATTCAGAAGACTGATGTTTTTCAGTAACAGTAACATGCACGAATTTATCGCCAGAGTCAAACGTGCGTAGTTAACGCGGTAAAAAATGAACAGAAAGCCCTACGAACAAGATGCAAGACGAGGGAATTTGTTAAAATAATATGGTTGAACCAAGGTCTGCGTTCCTGAAATCGTCGATGATGAAAGCCACTTCAGTTACTACTTCGCCACCTCCATAAACCTCAAAGGCAACCATATACCTGTATGCATAGTTTTCAGAAACAAACGTCTTGAGCAGAGTTGATACTTCATTCAACAGTATCCATCAACTTATTAAGCCAATCAGACCATACGGAGATTGAGTGTTGCCCGTTAGAAAACACTGCACGAAAGTTTCGAAATTATTGGATCTCATCAGGTAGAGATAGCAGGCCTCAAATCTGGGGACAATTGGGATGTTAGTTGACATCTTTAGCCACATTGTTACGATGGATAACGCTAAACACAGCGGCTAATGAATGATCGGAGGATAATTTTGAAGTACTGGTCGTGTGAATGGATTGCGGCACCAACATCATTGAAGACCGCGAACCTTGGTCAATTCGATCACTTGGACCGTAGCTGATGAAGCAGATAGAAATTGTGTGTTCCACGCCCGGGAGTGTGTATCGCAGTCTAATCACACAACGAGTACTTCAAAAGACCCCGCAAATCATTAGACGTTGTGCCAAGCGCTGCGCATCGTCACCCGGTGGTTAAAGGCGTAGAGGTTCAAACTAATATTCTAAGGGTCCCAAGTTCGAGGAATGCTATCGCTACATGATGAGATTCAGTAAGGTCGAAACGCGTCGTAGAATGCAGTGTTTTCGGGCGGGAAAGACCCAAGTGCTACCTGTTTCATCAGCTAAGGTCCTAGTGATCGAATGGATCAAGGTTCGCTTCAATCCGTATCACAGTCCACAATGATTGCGCGCAACAATCCATTCGCACGAATGCTACGAAATGACGAGCCAATCAGTCGGACCATCTGCCAAGCAGGGTGGCTAGTAACACTTCATCAGCTATTAAATTAGAGAGCTTGACACACCACAACTGCTGGTTAACACGTTCACCCTAACACTGGAATCTAGACATTTTCTAGATAAATGAAAAACGTCGTTTATCATGCGTTGGCCCAAAAACAAGCGGCCAATCCGCCACAATACAAAAACTACCCGGTTAATTGAAAAACTGGTCAAAAAGTTAGTGACGAACTTTGTCAATTCTTCGGTCACCATGGTTTTCTTGACAAAAGTTCGTGTCCCACCTGCCAAATGCATTGTGTGAACTACGCTTCGGAATCTGTCTGTTTCCGGTATGCAGTAGTAATTCTGTTTTTGGGCACACACCAAGCCTTCGACCGGCTACCTCACAAGTGGTTGCTACAAATGTTGGAGACTTTTGGGATTCATGACCCACTATTCGGTTGATTATCGTCATACAAGAGTGGTCGCTACCAGGTAGTCACTTTAAGTGACTATCGCTTTTCTCCACACCCCATCACTAGCGGGATCACCCAATGGAATATGTTCGGTTCCTCGCTGTTCATGCTCTACATCAATCACATCATCATGTCCGTAAAGCATGACTGTCCATTTCTAATCTCCAACGATATCACCTTTGTCTACAAGATTCGACGTGACAAATTACACAGAACGTCTTTTCTCATTCAAGGTGACTTTTATTCCATTGAGGCATGATGCAACTCGTGGATGAATCTCGGCATAAAAAATCAAGCATGTACGATACTCAAGAATGAACAAGTCTATACAGTTGGCCCCTCGCAATCTCAGAATTAGATATTCATTGACCTTCGTCGTCTCCGAAAAGGTCCAACACCTAATAGTGTGTCATACAATTTGTGGTTAATATATCCAGTAAAACCCACACAATCCATGCTTTTAAAGATACTCATCCGCCCTATGAGTACTGTAGCACGACATAGAGCTACATGAGAAAGGGCGGCAGGATTGCTCTGGAACAACTGCTGGTTGGCAAGCAGCCGGCCATGAATTATCGAGAGCACTGCAAGAAACTTCAATTCAAACCACTTTGGATGCAACGATTGAAGCTGCCGTTTTAAAACCTGCTACACAAAGGACCTATCCCGATCTGCCTACATTCGAACTGCAACACAGCCCAGTAGGAGAGCTTCGCAACTAAGATTACATAGTCAAACCTGTTTAAGGCGACCACACAAAGGACCGACAAAAAGTGGTCGCCATGGATAGGTTCAGACGTTGGCGATGCTTTTAACTGGTCGCCAAAGCAGGTTGGATTGTACACTGAATTTACCAAAGGTTAGAACCAACATTCGCTCAAAGTTCCTCCTGGTCAGGTATAGCTATCTGTGGGATAAACTGCCGATCACACACATATCATGTGAAAGGATGGCAAGATTTAGTAACAAACTCGCAAATCACCTTGGCCTGAATACCACAACGACTTTACTCACAGAAAAATCACTAGATGAACTACCTGGGAGGGGACCAACAACGTCTGAACAAGCACGTTACCAAACTTCGGCTTCCTTTTCAACCAGCCACTAAATTGTTAGTATATGAATCCAAAGCCTCAATATTGCACAGATTCCCCTCACCCATGCAAGATCATAGTTACTCTTGTCCATCATGACCTGGTCCGCAACAGACTGTTCTTCAGATCGTAAGAAATTTGGGTATTATCAGTATTATTACGAACACGACCACCTGAGAGCAGAGGCAGTGGTCGACCAAAAACGAATGTAGTAGGATAGACATCATGCTGAGTTTTGGATTACCCCTAATGTTTGAATTACGACACACGACTGCAATTAGGGCAGCGGTGAGCCCTAAAGTGAACGGCCACCAGTTCGAGTACTAGAAATGTCGATAAGTTAGGGGAATTGTGAGTTTCGGCACCTAGGCCAACAATTGTTGCTTAGCTCAGTTTCGAAATTCTCAAATGTAACTAACGACAACATTAGTCGCGAGATGGGTATCAAACATGAATGGCGACGCATACAATTACAGAATCTTTACCAAAGCAAATGTGACTAGAACTAAACCAAGTAAAAAAGCCACATCTTTCATGGGGAGGGTAGCTGGATACCTATAGGTGACGGGAACCTCTCGGAAAACTAAAAGTGAAAAACTTACCGAGAGCTGATATTCTGAAAAGTACATCGCCACTGCCCGATGTGCTGATACAGTCTGCAGGTAGCAACACATATTCCGGAGGGACGTCCGATTCTCCGATGTAGAAAAGTGGTTCGCTCACGGTCGACAAATCAAGTGCCATTGATTAAGTGAAAGGCTGCAAGTTGTGTAAAGATACACAATAAAAAACAACAACAACATTGGCGTTTAACGGTCTTATTAAAACTGGCCAGTAGTAAGGTACTTTAAAGTTACAGAAACGTGCAACCCCAAGAAAGTCCAAGTATTTTCAACAGTAATCATTACCCTGGACAAATTTATGCCATAAAAAGGTCTAAGATTCACCCTAGACAAGTCTATGTAAGAGCTGCAGTTCAACCTTTCCGTGGCCAACTGTTTCTACCTTAGCATAGATGCTGTCCGTGAAGAACGAAGTGTGAATCATCGCAGTTAAAAATCAATTGAGCACTGTACCGACCATCGTGGAGAAAGACAAATGTGTGGAACGCGTTCTTTAAAAATAAGGAAGCTTTGAGGTACCTGTGTGCGTTCACGATCAAAAAATCAAATGCGGATGCTCGCAAAGTTAGTATGCGTCGGATAAGATGATCGATGTGAAAATACGTAATGAGTAGATGCGAAAGTGGGCATGTAATATCAGAACTTCTTGGTTGATCAACATATAAGATCAAGTTGGAGGCAATTTGTGCAGGTACGAATGTTGTGCGCAAATAACACCTGTCAAACTCGAGGACGTGGAGATTAGGAAAGAACTAGCGTGAATACAGTGGTGAAAAAGAGAGACCATGACTAGTCATGGAGTGATTTTGCACCACTTGAGAGAAATAGGCCTTCGCTGGCGCATACCTGAAATAGACAATCATCGCTGTCTGCCTGCGAATATCATAGCCGTGTTGGTCACCGAGTTCACGTTCGTCAACCTTCAGCCTGCCGGCCCGCGCGTTTAGGTCTCTAGCAAGCACCACGATGTCTGTGCGACGCCATTTAAGGTAGGCGACAGAGCTGACGGTAGAACTCATCCGCAATTGAGTCAGGGCTGTAGTTTGTGGGCAAACAATATTACAACGCACAAACAACGTCAGCTGGCTCCGCGGCCGGATGATGGTATAGATGTTTCTAGTCGATTCGCATATAGCCGGTTGTTATTAGGAAACTAGTAGAATAGCACAGTCAGCCCGTGCACAACGCAATCCCAACACTGGTATGGTCAGTGGATTCGGTAGTTGGGTCTCCAGACAGGCGCTGTGTGA